AGAGTTTAAGTAGAGATGGCCAGAACAGCAAAGAAAGAGCTCGTCACTGCTAAACTCCTTAATACTAGAAGTAGCTATTTTAGTTACAAGACCTACTGATCTAACTGGCATTTGTAAAATACAAATAAGCCATGAATAATGCTTTTTTCCGCTCCCTTTTTTTGGTTGTTGTTTTTGTTTGGTTTGTTTTAGGTTTTGTTTTGCGGTTTTTGGTTGGTTTTTGGCTTTTGTTTCCTTGCTGGGTTTTTTTTGGTTGGTTGGTTGGTTGGTTTTTTTTAAAATTAAAATCGACTAGTTTACAGTTATTATCAAATAACATTTCAACTTTTCCATTCTGAGAAAAATACAACAGAATGACCAGGCAATGACAAACAGTCAATTACTGGTATGCTTTAAAGCTGAAGAGGGAGGAATTTCCCACACTTCTAACCAGAACAAACCTTTTTTTGTGTTAAAAGGACAAGCAGAAAAGTGAGCTAAGGGTGAAGACAGATTGTTGAAACAAAGTTAAATGACCATGTTGCACATGCAGACTACAAAGCAATATTAGATGCAGGTTAATGAAACATTCAAGATAGAGAAGTTCACTGCAGAGACATTTAACACTCTTTAAAACGTTTTTCTTACAGCACATAGTGAAAGTATCAATGATAATTCTGAGGAAACTTCCAAGTCCATGATATTCCATATCCTTGTAACTGGATGCCCAGAACCTCTACTTGAGTGACCAGTCACGCTCTTTAACTTTTCACTGGATAGCCCAAAGCTTTAAAAATGACTGAATCCAGGAGGCAATCAAGGTATTACAAATATCCCTCTCCAACTTCTTCCATGGCTTAGTTCTATAAAAATTAAATTTTATAAACAACTTTATGCACAGTAGTCAGTCATCATTCTAACTTGTTTTCAAAATTTGGATCAAGCAAGGCATAAAGACATAAACCAAAGTAAGGATATTTACTGAAGAATTAAATCTCAACTTAAGAATGGAAACCTAACAAAAAAAAATCTAAGTTACAAACACAGAATTATAAATTTTTGTGTCATTCTATTCTATCAGAATCTGGCGTAAAAACCCAAACCACGAAAAGCCCCACATTACTCCCAAAAGATCTCAGGCTAAAGATATCATTTCTTTAAGCACATGCAGAATCATAGAGATGTCCCTGTTCTTGCACTAAGTCAAGAATAAGACTCTTGGGCAATTATCTTTATAAAATGGAGTACAGCAGCATATTTTTCTTGAAAAGATTAGGATACCAAAGGGAACCAGAGAAATTGGGAGAATGTGTGTTAACAGCCTTTCTAATTAATACTCAAACTATTTTTCACTCACCCCCATAATCAAGAACTGCTTTTCAAAGTAAAAACACACGCTAGTAAGCTCACATTAGCATCCTAACAAGTGTCTGAAAATGGTGACAAAACCAGAACTGCCCAACAAAGTTGCCACACTATGCTAAAGCAGAGACTCACAGGGAATAACTACTTTATTTCAAGAGAAATTTTCACATCATAATTTCAACCAAAGTGATCAAGGTGTCAAAGTCTTTATCTCTTCACTAGTGCTACCACGAGCAATGGAGCAGAGGGCTTGCTTACATGCATTTAATGAGATGAAGCCTTCCTTCTCCTGCAAGCATCTCTTATGAGAATGCGCACTACCAAACCTTTAATATTTGAAGGTGCTACAGTAGAACGTGAGAAAAATGAAGAGAATGAAACTTATCCTAAACAGCTGAACTGCACAAAAATCATTCTTTTTAACTCCTATTACCTCATCACAAGTTTTGTGAACATGCAATCTTGGTGTGACTGTCTGCAGACGTATTTTTCTACTAGAGATGAACTGAGGGAAAAGAACCTAGTTTACTTGGATTCTACTGCTTCCTACCCTTTGTTTGCTGTTACACTAGGGTGGGTTTTTTCCATTTTCTGCATAGCTGGCCTACTCTGAACTAAATATGCAGGAACAATATAGCGATGGCTTCCTGTAGCTGCAGTTCCAAAACTGTGCTAACCACTGCACCCACTTAAGCAGAATTTCTCAGGGTATTAAGGACCGAAGTATAAAAAAAAAAAAGTCTTGGCTCCAAAAATAATAATACAAAGACTTTGGTACTCCCTATACCTTCCATTTTTTGGTGATAGCACTAAAGACACTGTTTCTCTGTACTGAGTTAAAGCAAGTACATAAGTATAACAGTCCTCTGAAGACTAACACCCTTCAATCAGAAGATCAATCAGAATGAAAAAGACAAAAAGGTAGGAAGAGAAGAACTGAAAACAGCAGTCTTCAAAACAGCAGAGCATGAAGCCTCTCTTCCCATTACCAAAGGAATTCAGTAAAAAGAACCTTACAAATACCTACGAAAAAGACAGAATCTGCAAGATAATGTCAGACAACCTTTAGCATGTTTGAATTTTCACCGTGGATATTTTTTAATAAATGCTACAATACTAACTCCACAAATACCTGGGATTGGTCAACTGATAGGTTTGTTTTTTGGCGTTTTTTTCACTTCTCTTACCTGGGGGAGTGGAGGAAGTGGGGAAGAACACACTTCTTGCACATTCTTTTTAAAATTACACAAATATCTGAAGAGAACTTAATCATCAAACCTCCTTTGATTCCAACATATAAAAAGAAAAGGCCCTATCATACCTTATACAAACAAGAAATAAAATACTGAATTTTAATTCTTCTATTTAGGTATGCCCAAGTAGTACAGAAAACTATTAAGTAGTCAGCTACTAAACCACCCTTCGAAATATAAAATAAAGTCATGCTAAGAGATGCATTTCTCAAAATTAAATTAACCTAAAAGGTATTTACTTTTAACATGAAATTAAAACTTGAAATTTGTAGTGAAAACTAAACAGTTATGGAAGCAGAGAATATTAAACCACTGTGCATGCCACAATTTCAATATACACCACTAGTGCCATAATGTCTAGAGAACAGAAAAGAAAAAAGCATATGAATTCCTATCATTAAACATCAAACTACAGTAACTCATTTTTTAGCAGAGAAACTACTTGTTGTTAGGGCAGTCTGACCCAGAGAAGAATCTCAGAAAGTAATAGGTCTTCAAACACAGTATATGTACTAATAAAATCCTCATAAACAGAAGGAGCTATGGGTTCAATACTTAGAAAGTTACCCTAATATAAAATATAGCTTACTATATCGTTTACTGTATAGGCTTACTATACAGTTTTCTTTACTACAAAGACTTAACTCTGGAAAGAAAATTCCTTAAATGGGAATCCAATTTTCTAGTTTCTGCATCAAAGAAATAATTTCAGTCTGCATAGAGGTGTTCATTTTTTATTTCATATAAGAAAAAATATTTTTTACATTCATAACTTTTATCAGTGTCATGAAACTTCAAAATTTATAATTTCTTTTGTAATGCAGAAATTATCAGAAATTGTAATCAGAAATTACTATTATAGAAATTGTAATCAGTAATTATTATATTTAAAGTGATATTAAATAACCTTTCTAAGTAGTTATTCAAAAATAATAAAAATAAATTTTCATCTGTGACCTTTTAATGTCACGTTTGAAGTATAAGGTTTAAATGTATGATAAGACAAGCTTATAATAGAAACATTTCCATGTACTGGCAGAATTCCCGGCTATATCAAGCTGCATAAAACAGAGATGTAACAAAGCAGCAGAATGTTCCTGGCTACCACCCTCTGCAATCTGAATCCAGCCAACAGGACCCACAAGAAATGGATAGCCCCCTTCTATACACTACATAACAGATAGAGAAAGATTAGGATGATAACTATATGAAGTGTTACCTTATTCACCCCTAATAATTAATACTCAATCTGTGGCTCTGAAGCCATTCAGGGCTATTGGAAGTTCTTTGGAGTGCCTCCCACATTCACACCACTGCAAGCTGGTTCAGTAATTTTGATTACATGGGTTTTCTTTAAACCATGACGGAATTCAACAAATGAACACACACTCTCCAAAGACTCGCTTATTCCTCCAGATATAAGTAGGAAAATATAATCTGATGATAAACTGACTTTTATGGAGTATGAATTTCAAATAGCAAACCATAACATCCTAAATACTACTGATAACTTCTATTATTTTGATACACTCGACTTTGTCCTCTGCTCAAACTATTATTTACTCTGATGGGTTTTTTGTTGTTTTATTCATTTGTTTAATTTGTCAAGTTTGTGTGCTCAGAATAGGTCAACATTTGAACAAAACAATGAAAGAAAACTACACTTTCTAACATCAGGTATGCAAGAATAGCCTATCCAATGCTTGACTGTGAAGTGGAAGATGGCAGTGCTTTAAAAGGTAGGTAGAAGATCAATATCATGAAGTATGTCTAGTGATTCAAATTTCCCTTTGAAAATACACTGTGAGCAGAAAGACATTCTCACAAATTAAAAGGAATAGAAGCCTAAACTCAGTGTTGCAATGTCAAAGAAGAAAAATTCAATGTCGTGTACTATTTCTGAAGGGCAAAGAAAATGAACAGACTTGTGGAGAATTCAGAATAGGGGAAAGACAGTACAAAAATACACAAACAGTCATCTAAGAAGTACAAAGGCATGTTCAAAGTCATTGTAAAGTGGGCCTGGTTTAAAATGCTAACAATAAATAATGTTTTAACTCTTGAAACATCCTAGGTACTATACCTGATAAATTTACTAATAATCACCACCATCTTTCAACAGTCGATACAGCAGTAAACACCTAATTTCAAAATCATCCTGTAAGTAATTAAATGCTTTCCACTTACATTGCTACATTAGCAGAAAAAGAACAAAAATTACTATAAGGTGCACATCCAATCCTACAACTTGCATTAAGTAAAAAAAATCACAATTAAATCAATTTAAGTTATCCAGTTAGAAAAACAAAAACAGAAATACTGTTCTGATACAAAAAAAAAAAAAGCCAAACTTGAACATATCAACTGAATTAAATAGATTACTCCATCCATATTTGTACTTGCCTAGCAATACTTTAGCATCTTCCACATCAAAATCTCCATCTCCATCAGCATCATAAATCCCAAGCTTGCCTAGGAATGCAAAGAGAGGAGGAAAAGACAATTCAGCCATTTGTTTCCAGCACAATGTTTTCAACGTGCAGTGACTAACTGCTAATGTTAGATTGTTACCATAAGTTGTTTAGCAATTTATATGTACTCATAATCACATTTTAAATTTCCTGGAAAATACTACAAATATTTCAAGTTCCTTTCCGTATCTCCTAGATTTGAAACCAAACACAAGTTTTTTTCCTGTATGTTCTGTAATTACATACTTGACATGAACATGCTTTGCTTAGAATAAAATTTAAGGTCACAGGGAATGTTCAACATGTTTGAAAGAAAATAAACAGTAAAACAAAAATCAGCATTTGTTTTCTGATTACGTGCTTCCTGAAATTCTAAATTCTCAGAAAAGAGATACATATGTATAAGTACAAAATTTTTAGTGCCAAGTTAATAGAAAGTAGGTAGTCCACCTTCCAGACAAAAGAACACATTCATAAATTTTATCAACAATTGTCTAACCTTCCATGCAGACCAAAAAAGTTGTCCATTCTTTCATACATGACTAATAAATCAGATTTATCACTTTTAGTTTTAAAACTGCAGCTCTACCAGCCCTAGGTATATGCAAAAGAGAACTCAGTTTCTACTAAAAGAGAATTTTCAGCATAGAATTGTGGTATCCAGGATTTGAAGTGTCCTGGGATCATCAAGTGAGTAGAGATGTATGTAATTATAGGTTTGATAAAATTCAGACATAACTTTTAACAGGATTAAAACTCTGCACAGTTTGTAGAGGAACTCTGTGTCCTTGTAGTTTCACAATATATTACACTCGTTATTCTCTAAACGGAGACAGAACTTTATTGATAACAAAATAAATGAAATATAGTTCTTAATATGGTACTTAGAAAATTAGAAAACAGAAAAGAAGAAAAAATTCAGACTTGGGTCTAGAATGGTCAAAAATATATCCATCAACATTGTATGGAAGCAATCCACTAAAAAGTATTTTTGTCAGTTTATGGTTAAACACAGTAGACTGGTGAAAAAATGTAATTCTCTAGAAATAAGAATAGTATCATCTTCAAAACCGTGAAGAATGAGACAGATGAGAAATGACTGAGTTTCATGTCACAATAGAAGAAAAGTAATTCTCAAAAAAATTAAAAACATAACAAAATAAATCAAAACTTTCAGCCAAGGGACTGTAAAGCAAGCTTATTTCTCCAATATCCTACCTTGTAGGACCTCTGACAAGTTATAACGGAAATCCTTTGCTTTGGCTGCATGTGTGGTAAAAATATAAAAACCATTATTTGCATCACTAGACCCAATTTAGTTGCAAACCAGAAGTGTCTCTTAAAAAATTGGTCCAGATCAAAAAAATCACATTCCAACAGATTTCTTAATTTTGTAAAACCACCAGTTGCAATAGTGCATGTTAAATCCTACAACATCAAGTACAATAGCCGTACCTATGGACATACATCTTGAAATTGGAGACATTAATTTGCACCCTTAAATATTATATTAACAATACTCTCTTAAAATTGTGATATCGAGATACCATTATCACCATTATAAGCTTAAAACTGAGGCCATTGAAATGCTCACCCATGAGAGGATGACTGATTTGTTATCCTGACCCTACAGGCATCACAGTCCATCAAAGGAGGAATAACATTAGCTGCTCAATTTCAATCACTGCTGCAAGTCTCTGACAGGTTATATTCAAACAATGCATATTTAGCTCACCTCTCAAATGAACTACGGTATACATGTTACAAAGAAATGCTGAAGGATGATGCTTTTTCAGTCTTATGAGAATCCCGTTTTAACATCATAACAGTGTTCAGCATTGAAACACAGTTTTTGAAATACTTTGCTTATTCTCATCATGTAGATGACGTAGATCATTTGTAAACACTGCAGTAGTCAAATCATCTATCTAAACATTTAAAATGGCCTTCATTTAATGAATATCATAATATTATTAAAAGAATCTTAAGATTTAAAATTCTTACCTAGAACTTCTTCATAATCTACAAGTTCAAACCAGACAACTGCCACTGATGTCCAAACTCCCAGCAAAGCAATTACCATAAACCAGGTGAAAAATGAGCTTCCAGAGAGGCCTTCTTTCTTTCCATTCTTGCTTCCTCCATGCTTAGTCTCTGTTAAAATAAGACAAACAAGGAGGAAAAATGGATTTGCTGTAAAAGTTAAATTATTATTGAGTATATAATTATAAAACTTGTTTCTTATGACTATGCAGAATACAAGACATTTGAGCAACAGTTTTTTGGTGGTTTTTTGTTGTAGGGTTTGTTAGGGTTTTGTTCAGTTTTTGTTTTTAAACTTCACCACCCTTACTTGCTCTTCATATTGCTGGGGATTACCGTGGGAAGTTTGATGATTATCTAAGCAAAAGCCTCACAAGCAACCGAACACCAAATGCCCCCATCTAATTTGTCTTACAACTTAGACAGAAATCCCGCCTTGCTTTCCCCTCCCCCCTTCCTTGTGTATTTACACAGAGCTTAACATTTTTCAGATGCTTTGCATTTGTGCCCGCAGTTCCCAGGCTGCCACCAGAGGACACCATGGCCAGCAGAAAAGCTTCACAAGAGAAGCGTTTCTCCTGAATCAAGTTTCAGCAGTACTTGAAATAGCTCAAAGAACCAATGTGACGATTCAAATAGCCTAAGAAAGCTCAAAAATCTGAACCATATTAAGGGTAAGATTCCAAGTTCAGACAGACACTTAACCAACTAAAAACATCTTCCCTATAGCTTAGAATCAAACACAGATTCACTCCATGCTAAATAACTTTAGACTTCCACTCCCATGGAACATACAAGTAAAAGGATGATACAGAGACATAACGCAAATCACAATTTCACTAATAACTGCACATATGGAAAGTAAATATACATATAAAAAATACAGAAGTTATAAACAAACCACTAGATAAAGACAGACCTCTACCTGGATGTGGGTAGAAGGTTTCAAAGACGCTTTGCCACTAGCAATGATATAAATTGCTTGGTCTGTTTTTTTAGGATCATTTTCTCAAAAGAGGGATACATATAGTAAATAAATATGTAACCAAAAAGATGCCTGTGGCCTTTCTCCAAAGCTCAAGGTCTGCTCTTCTGCCTCCTGATATTACTGCTACAAAGCTGGCACTTGGCTGCAGTTTCACGTCCATCAGTCTATTCCACTTCATTCTGTTCTAAGAACCGACATTTGCCAGTTCAGCCACATGCAGTTCCAGTTATTCATGCAAAATTATTTCTTACATATTTTGAAGGACTCGAGGAACTTTGTCATGAATATTGTGATAATATAATAAGGAGTTAACTTTTTCATACTAATTGCAAGTAATGTTTGATGCATTTATCAGCACTGATCATAGAAAAAGACACAAAATACTCTCAACAGCTAAATATTAATGCAATTGTTTTTTACAATAAAATGGAGTAGGTCTGAAAGATAAGTAATGAGAGACTGGTAACTGACTTATTTCTGTAACAGATACTATATATAAGTCCTTTCAGACCCTGCTTGCCATCAGGTTTACAGCTGTAATAAACAGCCCTTTTATTATATTCATTGTGCTATATAGTGAGTTCAAACCAATAAAATCTCCACTGACTCATGTCAACTCTTACTCAGTTCAGCATTTTATTGAAGAAAAAACTTCTTTTATCGAGACTACACCCTTCAAAGATCAAATACCAACTGTTTAGTTTCTTTTCTACATTAAACACAAATGTCCAATAATATTCAGAGAGAAATTGAGACAACTCAGGCATATATCACTTGCTACTGCAGAGTCCCCTAATTAAATATGTGCAAGGTCCATATACTCAGCTCATTTTAACACCTCTCTTGTAGGAAATGCACAGGTAGCCTGGAAATAGAACAAAAACCAAGCACCGTGCACCAGTACATTCAGAAATATGCTCAACTGTATATGAATTTCCTTGAAGCATTCTGGAGTTGGAAATGTTAATATTCAGAAATAAACAGTTATAGTATAAAACAGTAGGGTTTCACTACATCTGTGTTCCAAGGTAGTCAATGAAAGCGTCATATATATTTAAAATTAAACCCCAAGGCTAAAAACATTTTAAAAGATTCCATGTTACAAATTTGTTCTATAGCAAATAGGAAAGAGGATCTTACTGCATTTCACACCCATTTATCTCACTGTTTTCTACTGTTTACTGCTAGTTGCTCTGAGGGAAAGAGCTTTACTTGTTAGAAGAACAGGAAAATGAAAGAAAAGACAACTTATTTAAGTAACTGAGCATAGCTGTTCATATTTTCTCCAGTACAAAAGACTGTTTCATGCAAATTCCTCAAAAACAGATTCTGCTATAAAAATATAATTCACAACAGTCACAAAGATACATTTTTATGCTGTGTCTTCCTACTTTATAGCAAAATTATTTTCAAAACTCTTGAAAAACAACTCAACCATGGCAGCATGATCACGCAACACTTTTATATAAATGGAAGTTACGTAACATAGAATGTACCTATGGTCTGCACAAATAACTCCACATACAGGCTCAGAACAAAACACTGCATGCACTGAAGCTGGTTCAGAGCTCATTCCAAACAGTTAATTCTCAACTCAAGCCCTTTCCCTGCACATGCTGCCAGCCATGTCAAAAGTAGGTCACTTGCCATATCTGGTAAGCCTGTGCTTACACCACCAGATGTCTTTATGCAGACATCAGAAAGTCTTAAAGCACGCTCCATTCCTCAACGGCAAATCTATAAAATCCTGTACCTCACTCCTCCCTCATCAAGTACTCCTAGACAAAAACGTATGAAGCCCCTGTTTCTTTAGCTTCCCTTCGTGACACCTAGCAATTTTGCATACTCCAAAAATAACACTGAAGTCACATATTTGAAGACAAAACAATGTCTCTTACGTTAACATATGTTCTACTCAAGCAAAAAATGTTACAATCAACCACCTGCCTTAAACTCATGAAATACCTCTAGTCCAGAGAACATATAATCCAAGAGAACAGATGCAGACTGTAACACAGACTGGAACGGCAAACTGACAAGCAAACACCAACAAATGACAATAAGCCGGTTACTTTGCCGATTACAAAATCAGACATAACCGGTATATGCAAGTACACGCTTTCCATTTGCTCACAAGAAAGGTTAGGATTATACCTGTGTCGTCAGCCATAACATTAGTGCTCGATTTCCACAGACAGAGCGAGTGTGTCAGTATCTCCAAAAAAAAAAAAAAAAAGGCAGAAAAAGAAACAATTTATCCTCACTCCAGTCTTGCAACAGGAGCAAACAAGTTTTCTAAAGCCAGCTCAGCTGGAACCCGAAACTGGACCCAAGAGAAACCTCTCCTCTAAATCTATTTTTAGAGCAGCTATCCTCAGGAGCCAAACGCTTTTGAGAACTCATATGGCAATCTAGGTCTGACGACAATCAAATTCACTTACTCCTCTAAACAGAGCATCCTGGGTAGTTGATCCTTTCCCCTCCCCTTAATCCTCCAACATAAAAACAAGAGCAAATGAAACCGAGCACATTGTACTGTAGTATTTTTGCTGCAAAGCATGCCACAGTGCCTGAGCTCTAACGACATTAAATCCATGTGCATAAGCTGAAACACAAGTCTGGACACAAAGCTTGCCTGCTTGCATTTGTCAAGCTGGCCCTCATCCAAGAAACTTTCTCCATGTTGGCACTCCTCTACCAGGCTTCCCGAGTAGAGACTGCTCATTTGGAACTTGCTAACTACTTTAAGAAAAAAAGAGACAACTAATTTCTATAACTTAGTTTAGAGTTGTCAAAAAGAATCACTTGAAACCAACCGCACACAAAATTGTCAAACAATTTTTGGATCTGAACTGTCCCCTAGTGCACATCGTATGTGCTTCTAGTATACCCAAAGAAAGGTTCCTGATAGTTTTGCCAAAGGAAATGTTGTTTTCCTAGCATGCAATATACTGCATGCCATAAAATTAAACCAGGCGAAATTTCTATTGCTTATTCGTTTTGGGTTGAAATCAGAAACAAACTCATTTCTCACTCACAGCAACCCTAATAAAAACTTTATAACCTAGCACTCTGCCCTTCTTCCCCCACGCTTCTTTAAATAACACAGCCATAAGGTAGATGAAGTGAACAGAAGAATGTTACAGCTACTTTGAAAAACAACATACACCTCCTGTGGTTTCAACATCCAGCAACTAATTGCCAAATGCAATTCCCAACAGCTCAAGGGAGAAAAAAAGTGAGAAAAAGCACCAGTTTAAGACTTATCAAATGGATGTAAAGGAACTACAGGCAGTTGATTCTATAACTAATCTATCTGTTTACTACCTTTAAAACCACTTGAACACATAAAACAGACCAAATGCTTTAAAAAAGACATCTTGACTAGTACATTTTTGTAACTTATCTGATGCACAAGCAATTCAGAGCAAGACAGAAAGAAAACTTGAAGAGTAGAAGTTACCAAACATACGGAGAAATCAACAGCTTATTAAGGAAAAGAATTTTACATGCAACGATATGTAGTCTATTGCATATAAACCATACCGCGTTTTGACAGGCATCGGATTAGGCAATTTGTTGCAATTTCACTTCAGCTGCACTTGCATTGCAGACACCAGATCTTAGTACAAGATTCATAAAGCACTCAACTAATGATGAGAACCTCAAGTCCATATAATACATGGGGAGACTGGTCTGAACTAGAACTTACCTGGCTGAGTGCCCATAATTGCATAAGTTTTTGCTTCGTTTCACTCAGACCTAAGTGAGCACATTCCATCCAGGTACAACAGCATATTGCATAAAAGTAAGGCAAGTGAAGACAGTCAAGAAATTGATTCCAAATGTACAATCCAAATCTGAACTAAGACATGTATGTTGACATTTAACCAAGTACCCACAGCTTTAATCTTGAGGCATTTAAGAATCAACTGATTGCAAGAATATGTCTTCCCAAGAAATTACAAACATCTTCCTGAAAGGGGAGGCTACAGCTAAAATGGGGAAACTCTTCAAAAGAAAAATGGCCCAAGAGAAAGATGGACCGATGAACCACATAGCTGATTATACACCCCATTAACAACACACATCACCACATACCTTGAAAAATACGGGTTATACA